ACCTTAATGATTCTATGATTCTAAGTACTTTAAGAGAGAATATCCCTGATAGCAAAGGCTGTGCGTTTCCCCACTAGATTCAAGAGTCACGCTCTGGGAGCTGGCGATAGCTGAATTCAAATTAAAAATAAACATAGAAGCCTGTACCTACTGTAAGAGTGATTAGCCACAGAATACTGCTTTCAAAAAAACAAGACAATGTCTTTGAGAGGTATGTTTGACTAAAGCAGAACTTGAGCTCAGTTGTACAAAATGAGTAAGAACAGGTCAACTCTGACCACATAAAGGACTATCTTCATTTCTGTAATGGATTTTAACAAGGCATTCCTTGAGCAATAGGATAAACGAATCTGAGTTTCCCTTAACTGCAATAATATTTGCTCATTAATGCACTCTATAATCCCATCAGGGAAAAGTCAGCATGTATGAGTCTAGCCAGTCAGCACACAGATGGCTTCATAACAGATAGCCCACACTGGCTAACCAACCAGCCTGCCGTTCCTGCCAGAAGACTGGCTAACAGCTGAATTCTGTCTTCCTCTCCATCAAAAATAGATCTTATTTGGGCTTCTGCCTTCTATTAGTCACCAGTTTTCACAAAACATAAAAGTGTCATTACTTCTTATACTTGTATTGCTCTATCAAATGCAGCTGAAACAAGCCCAACAGATTCCAGAGGAACGGACTAATAGACAACTGAGATCATGTTTCCTGTGGAAGGGGCACCAGCTGCCATTTTAGAACTTCGAGGAAATAGTCCAATTTAACAGCACATGCTTATTAGCAGCTACATAATACAGACAAGATTACAATTTTATCAGAGTTCTTCAAATACACCGTCTTCTGCAGGATCAAGAGTACCTAACTAGTGTTTCACAGCATTATTTTGATAATTTAAAAAAAATGTTTTGACATAGCAAATTTGAGGCTATTACATCTAGTTAATCAAGAAATTCTGAACTCAGAAGAGCCAATAAACCAATACGTGGACATTAGCTCTATGAATGCAACATTTCACCTCTTTTGTCATCTTCATTCATATTTTCAAACCACCCTTGGGATATGCTTATAACATCGACAAGAACAGCATTTCCCAGCCTATGGATATAGACTACTACTGAGCGGATTTAGGGGAACACAACAGTTGAAAAAGAACAAACTCAATAAGGAAAAAGTTTGCCTCATAGCTTTACCCAAAGCAACACACACCTGTTGGCACAGTAACCTTCCCTTTGGGGCAACATCCTGCATCCCTCTTCTTTCCCAAGTGGCTCAACAATCAGCAAGCCATCGTAGCATACATACAAAGTGGGCTCACAAGCAATAATGCTCTATTTTTCATGTAGTGTTTACCCTATAAATATACAAATCAGCATACACCCCATAAATAAACATAAACTTGTTCTACAGAGTGGGTTTGCAATGCATATAGGTATTAAGACAGCCAGTCAACCTGCTCTCAACTTCCACCTGGACGGAGCATCCTGGAAGGGGGTGGGGGGATTGGAATGTCTGGAAAAACACAAGTGTACAGTAGCCCCATTTCAGAACCACTAAAAGGTCTCTCAAACATCTGCTCGGAAAGAAATAGAGGAATGAGGAAGAAACTGACAAAGTTGCTAGGACAAAAAACTTGAAAAATGGGAAAAAAATTCCCCAAAATATCCTAACAACTAACTGCACTGGGGCATGATAAAAGAGGTTGAAAAAAAACCTCCTATAGCATTCAACCTGTTATGATTCAGTAAATGACAACTGCCATGCTAGTATACAGCAAGAACAGGAATTTTAACCTTTGTTAAACTAGAATTTGTTTGAACATTCTGGAAACTTCCTGTATATTCTCTACTTCAACATAGGTATTTCATCACAAGCAATATTGCATAAAAACAGAAACATTTTTGGGAACAGGACAGTAACTTAAGCTATGCTGAAGACAAAAATTCCACAGTAGACAAACCCAAGAGCACAGGAAATCCTCAGAAGGAACACAGATCCTGTTTTCATGCAAACGACCCTGATAACAACCAAATTGTATAAGAAATGAGTGTTCTTCCCTGAAAGAACAAACAATTTTTTTCCAGGTACATGTTTTAATTTTGCTTTCTTCTATCAGCTAAAAGAAGATGTATAAAAAACTAATCCATTTCCAACAGTCAATGAAAGCTAAAATTTGCTAATCAAAACCATAAAAATAGATATCTTTAACTTTATCATCAAATGAAGTAACCTCAATTTATCTTCTCTTACTAAAATTTTCTTAAGTAAATTCTAATTTCTTTGAACAATGATTACACAAACTGTAATTTCTTCTCTGATTAGATTTCCAGAGTTTTACACAAGTATTAAAAAACCAAACCAATGTGTGATACATCAGCTGTTTGTGACAGGTCTGCAGGCAAAACATAGTAACGTATCAAATGACTGCAATGCCTTTCAGGAAGATGCAAGCAGGATACTGCAGACTGTTAAATTTGCAAGTAAAATTAAGATTATAATTGCTGTCAAAAAAAAAAAAATCAAAACATACTCTACCTGCAAGAAAGAAACAAATCTTCCCATCTGTATTTGGCAATCTCCCTCCACCATGCTGGAATCTGTGGCTTGAAAGACAAACATTTGTCACTACTTTCAAAAGCCTGTGTTAGAACTGTTCAATTAACATTGAAGCTTGCCCTTCAAGTCATTTGTTTGTCATACGAGTGGACCGCACTATTATAAGTATACTGATGGAGCCTTAAAAACTTTTAATTTTGCTTTCCTAAGCTGGACTTATTTTTGAAGTTTCTTTCTCATTAAAAATTACATTGTTTATAAGTTAAACACAAAGCAGGAAAAAAGTCTCCATCACCTGAAAGAAAATAAAGAATACGAAACGTAATTCTTTAAAGGCATATATATATTATGTAACTTAATATAAAAGTTTCCATTTTAAAAAGTCTGTATGAAAGCACTAGGTATTTATATTGCAAGGAACATCCTTAGTATATTCTTTCAGTAAATAACTACCATGTCATTAATCAGAAGAAAAAGCTGGGTAGTATATAATTTCCTCAAGAAATTGATTTTCTTTTTCCTACATATCAGCCTGCACAAAAGAACTGGCTCATCGCCACAGCTTCAAAGCATTACCTGTACGACAAAGTACACTAACAGGATACTATGAAATACAGTATTACTTCACCAATGCCAAATTGTTTCAGTCAGCTGGAGCTTCAGTCAGCTGGAGCAGTTGTAATACTACCTGACAAAATACAGTCTTAATGTGATGACAGATTAATGCTCTAGACTTGAGATTTTTCTATTAGGCCACTCTGAACAAAAATGGCTTACAATTGCAAGTTTACCTGCATAAGAAATGCAGATCTTATTGCTTCATAAAATGTTATTTTAGAGCAGTCACCAGAGACCAAAGTAGCCTCCATACTTCTGTAAGATGGAGCTCTGGGAGAAGATTCTAAATATTGCATGCTTCCCCTTTACACATTTTATGTAACCTTTACTCTGTTTAGTGTATGTCCCAAAAAAACCAATCCAACCAACTATTTAAAGTTCCTAGACTAGCCCTAGCCACTCGAAGGACAAGATGAAAAAAAATGTTTCTTTATACAAAAGGAAAAGGCCAGCACAGTATTTGTTTAAATTTCAACCATCCTTGGGCCAGTAGCTTTGCCAACTGTTCTAAGTAAGCAAGCTTGCTGTTATCAAAGTAGATGCTACAAGGAGGCATATAGAAGTAGAGAACATAATTTCTGCATCCCCACCTAACCAACAGAAGGCTAACCTCTCAGTTCCTGGCATTCTCAAGCATTCCCTGCAGGGAATTCCATCAGGAACAAACTGCTACTGTAATATGTTAATCTGCAACAATCTGACTTTTTTCGTGCTGGAGACATGGAGAAATTTTGAGGGATCCCCTAGTATGATTTTGGCAGCATATCACTTTCTTTTAAAGATATTTAAAACCACATCTGATAAGAAGTGAGAATGTGCTAAGGAAACAAACAAACAAAAAACAACAACAAAACCAAAACCGACCACAACCACTGGTTTATGTTCCTTAACCGAACCACAACAGTCATCTTATATAGCACTTAAAAGAATGATAAACAGTCCCTATCTCAAAGATTTCACATTCCCCAATACTTCTGTCACATTCAAGGCTCTTGAAAAGCTTTTTAAAAAGCCCTTTTTACTACTTCTCCCTTTCTGTCAAATTTCTGAAATAGAAAACAAAGTTACTTGATATGTCTCTAAATCAACTCATTAATATATTCAGTCCTCAGGACCAAGATCTGGGCCTATTCCCAGACTTTAAGGTGGAAGCTTAAGACCAACCCTTCGGAGGAGTTACCAGTTTAACTCCAAGACAAAAAACAGCTTTCACCTAAAGCAGGGTCTCATGATTTGTCAACTGAACTGACTTACAATCACTTATGCCCCTGTATTATGTCATGGTCTAAACAGTAGCACAAATACCATTACCTGCACTTGAAGGGCAGATGACATTAACACACTAAAACTTCTCTTGCAACAACTAGGATTGCATAAGTAAACTAGGCAGGACTTGATCCCAGTTATTTATTAATGGTTTCATTGTTTTATTACAATCAAATTACAGATTTATTGTTTTACTACAACCAATGTAAAATCTAGTCCCAATAGGAAATGAGTTGGTTTAGGACACGTTTACATGTGAAAAACAGGTTTTCAATGCCATACTTTGAAAAACAGCTGCTACAGTATGTAAGCTCAGGCTTCAACATGTTATACATTAAATACAACCTCAACAGCCCATACTCCCTACTTCTCATGTAAATAAGGCTGCAACAAAACTTCCTGTTAATGTAACAGATGAATATTATTGTTATCTTAAGCTAACACAGGACAGTTACAAGACACTAACATATACCCCTATAACCTCAAAGTCCATTATTCGGTGTTCATCAGTCAAAGATACAGAGAAAGCATGTATCCATATTATAAAATTACACTTACTGTAGCACTTAACATAACCTGAAACAATAACGTAAAACTACAAACTTTTACAGTAAAGGGAGCTACTTACCTCCTTCTCCATAAAACAAGAGGCCATTATAAAATTTAGTTTCTGCCTAACAACAAAAGCAGAAATTTGTTTTTTAATAAATAGGATATATGTAATCATGCTATAAAAAGTATTTAGACATTATATCGTTTCTTTATTGCTAAAGAATAAATTTTCATATATCAGCTTGCCAATCTGCAAACATTTTCATACACAGTAATAAAAGACAGCTGAAGTTACCTCATATTTTAACTTCTTGATTTCACAGCAAAGGGCAGCATATACAGTTATTACTTTGTTTAGAACCTAGACTCAAAGGGGAGAAAAACCACACAGATTACAAACAGATTCTCATTTAGGGAGCTTGGTTTTAGCTAGAATAACTCTTCTATATTTTTTTTTCTTTTAAGCATGAAGTGCTTACCTTGTTTTCTGTCTTTATGAGCTCCAGTAGAGAGGACTGTTCATATGGCAAAAGCTAAAATTTTAAAAACAAACAAACAAAAACAACAACAAACAAACAACTTTAGAAAATATTGGTCAAAAATATCCAGCTAGGTAAGTAATTTTTTTTCCCCAGTTTAATCTCAAATAAGGTCAGTAATAAGAGAGCAATTAATTGCACATTACTGGCAACCTATGCTGCAGGAAACCTTTGCTCTTCACATTTACATGGAAATACCTTTCCTTTCACTCTAGGCAGAAAGGCAAATAACTGGCTATACTATATAGCATTTACAACAATTTACCTACAAAACTTGGAAAGCAAAAGCATGGTCATTATGGCGTACATAGAAAAAACAGCTCAGGAAAACTGAAACATGAATTAAGAATCCCAAATGCAGAAAACAGGATGCGTAGTGTATATCTGTATGCAGGCACTGACATTTTGTACTGAAGTCAGCTATGATATTGACCAGTTCATATACATCCAGCACTGTGCTGGCCCTACACATAATTTATTCAAATTATTCAGACAGATGATTACTTAAGAGTGCATCTTCAGCACAGACAAGTTCCATACGGTAACATAAGCACTTTTAAATTATGTCTGCAAATTCAGTGAAGCGAAAAAAAAAAAAAATGCTCCACAGAGGACAGGGAACTCATGACCAAGAAAATAGCCACCTCTGGAGGACAGAAAATACTGTACCAAGGCCATTAAGTCAAAACACAACTATAAATACACACACAGTTCACTCTGCAGTTACACAAGTATTAGCAAGCTCTTCTGGAACCCCAACCCCAAATAAAAACACCAACACCCACAGGAAGTAGTTTGCTGGAATTAGGCTTCCCAACACAAGAAGCACTATAAATTCACTTAACTTCCACTGGTACCCAGAAGTCTGGAAAAGAATAATATGAAAACATCTTCTCTTATGATATGCACCACTTTATTAATTACTTGATAATTAAAATAGTATTGGATAGGTCTCTCAAACACAAAAGTCAAAATTTTAAGAGCACAAATGCATCAAGCTTTTACTTCTTAGGTTTTGAACGGAAGGAGGAACTAGGAAAATAACAGTTGCAATGCATATTAAATATATGAAGACCTTTAATGCAATGGGATCAAGACTGAAGTCCCAAACATCTCCAACAGAGTCATCCAAAGCATCTTCAATTCTCTTCAGCTGAGACGCATATTCCTCAAGAAATTTTCCATAATTCTTCAATTGCACTTCAGCATGAATTTCTGAGAATTGATAACATTTGTACAGTTTTATAGACTGTTCAGTAAACTGCAATATCAAAAATTTTATTAAAAATATTTAGCTTGTAGGACTGTATTCCTTATTTTGCTGCAGCATTTTTCCTTAATACAACTGCATCTTTAATACAAAGTTCTTACTTGTTTAAAAACAATCATACAACTCAGTGTCAGTTTAAAAGCAATCCGAATACTACTTAAAGAATATCAAACATCTAAGAGGTTTGCAGAAAATTATTTTTTAAATTTACATATATTTTCAACCTAAGATCTTAACAAACCTAACAATCACATCAAGATGCTGAGCAAAGAAACGACTGTAGAAAAAGTAACACGGCAGGTGATTCTACCCATCGACTGAACCAGTAAATATGCAATTATATTAGAACTTTGAGGCCATGGGTCTAATCATTTCGGCCTAGCAGTTCTATTAGTGGCAATCCCCCTTCCACTCTCTCCCTGCTACCTCTCAGTGAGTCATTTGGGCATTACATGGGAAGTTTTTGGCTTTCAGTCATTCCCTGTACTTCCAAATTCACCATCTTCAAGCAGAACTTTTCTTCTGCTTAGCACCTGGACATTGAAATGCACAGCTGCCCTATTACGGCTAGGGCCAAGTAGGTTATTATGTTCAAAAGGTAACATTCAGCTGGTCAAACACCAAGAATAGTGGCATTAATTAGCAAAGTAAGTCTACAGACTATTGGTCCACTAAAGTTTCATTCATTCTATCCTGATCTTTTTTCTTCCCACATTAATTATTGCCCCCTCCTTCCCCCCAAATTATATACAGTTACTGACTTAGTTGCATAATCTGAACTATGGAGTGAATGATTACAGCTCAAGGCTTCTATGCTCCGTAAGAAAGTACAATCCTTTTTCACGTGAAGACTAAAGTGTCTTCCCCATAATTATGTAACAAATCTAACAGCTTGTGATCTTCTGCTACTTGTTGCAAATAGGATTATCTAAAAAAGTTAGAGATGTAAGTCAGCTGAACAACTGAACTTTTCCTAAACAAGAATTCAGCTCTCACATAGCTTTATAGGTGCCCTTTTCACATTTCAGCAAGTAGGCTGCTCTAGAAAGTTAAAAAACTTACATTCCTTTATTCTGCAATTTTAACCCCCATCTTAATCTTATCTTCTTCCATAAAATCAGCAATATCAATATTCAGTGGACTTATTGCCACAGCAGGATTTGCAAGTGCTATGTCCATAAATATCTAGGACAGAGATGCAACAAACGAGATTTACTGATAATTGCTGAATCAATTATCACTTAGACATTTTTTGGAGAAAGAAAATACTTGACTGAGACACTGCACCAGCGTAAGGGGAGGAATGAATAAGGACAAGTTAATAAGGAAAAGACGAGAAGGACTATGCACAGGAAGGTTGAGACTGAGAAGGAGAAAAGACTGCAGTGAAGTCCTGAACTAATTCTAAACTACTACTTTGAAGCCAGCAGCAATGCCAACCATAAGGGCACATGGACTGCAACGCCTAACCAAGAAGCACAGTAAACTCTCCTACATGAAGTTCTGCATTACTGCCATTGGGTTCTACCTGTACCTGCAGCCTAGACAGTGCACAGGCACTGTCAAAATAAGGAGACCAAATTTCATGTAAACGGGTAAGAAGCAAGTGAACAAAAAACTCTCTGTCAGCAGTATGCACTCCAGACACTGATGTGCAGCCCTTAAGTTGTATCATCATATTATTCTATTCCATGAAATTCATCTCATCTTTCAGGTTCCTTCCAGTGCACCTTCTAGAAGCTCTGCTGCAGAAAACCAGTAAAACACTGATGGATGCAGAGCCCTGCAGAATGGAGTTTAACTAGGGACCACATCAGCTTCAGTACTTTACTGCTAGAAAATTTGGAGCATGGAGACTTATTACTATAAAGGTATGCTGTGGTATTCCCCCAATGTCATCTCCTCGCTTCGCACAAAAGACAAGGGAGGTTAAAAGAGGTTAAAATTGCAGAATAAGAGCAGAGAAACTGACAGAGATATTGGGGCTTTATAGGAAGAACAGAAAAAGCTTCCAAGTCATACAAGAGCAGGAAATTGGCACTGCTGTTCCAATCAATTCCGTACAAAACAGGCAGCATTTCTCAAACAAAATCTCACAGCAGCGCTCTGCTAGAGACCCACAAATTGTCACCTTTCCAGCAGCCAAACGATGGATTTGAACAATACTATAGCTCAACATAACTGATATTAAATATTGCCAAATACTTAACTACCGCTAGTCATCAATTTGCCACCTTGTACTGATCATACATAAAATAAGAGACAGGTGTGACTAATTTTCACTATTTTAGAGAGACAAGAGAGTGAAAGCTAGCCAGAGATAGGCACAGTTGAACTGATAAAAAATTACTTGTAGATGGAGGAAACTTTTTAAGATGCAGAAAAATTTTCCTAAATAAACTGGCTCACGTGGAGAAAGAAAAAGAAATCACAGAAAGCAGGTATTTTCTTTTTCTTCAGCGCAGCAGACATATTTCATAAGGTATAATCTGTTTACAATAAAGTTTGATTTAGTTTCTCCTCAGGTTATAAAATAAAAGCATTACAATTGGTACAATGCGAGAGATCTACTCAGCTGTACAGATCCCCCAGCTTAATCTTATCTTCTTCCATAAAATCAGCAATATCAATATTCAGTGGACTTATTGCCACAGCAGGATTTGCAAGTGCTATGTCCATAAATATCTAGGACAGAGATGCAACAAACGAGACTTACTTAGTATCTTGCGTTCTCAGCTGAGAATATTATAATTGCTAAAGGATAGTGATATAGGTATAAAGTGAAAGCAGACCACCACAAAAGATGTTTTTCAAGTCACAGGATTTTTCTTTGGCTTTTCTCTAGGAGAACGTTGTGTGCTGTTCTCAACAGAAGAACAGCCTGTTTGTTCACCATCAAGATGGTGGCAATGGAGCATATTATGTCATGTAAGTTCTTGTAGCTGCACTTAATGTCATGGTCAAACTAGCAGAGATCTGGCATTTTGAGTAAAAGCTACATTTTCCATTCCGCAGCTAGAGAACTGGTAAAAACCTCAGCTCAGGACAGCTTCAGTTTCCACTGAAATCCAGATTAAATGAATATGGCATAAACAGTATCATCCCCTGGGATAACATTATATGTGAAACCGTTGGTCCATGAGTGGCATATTTTCACAGCAACACCTGGTGTAATTAGTTTGGCACAGTTCAATTTACAGTGTGTATTACAGTGTGACAACCATATACGTTCCCTGTTTAGAAAGTAGGTCACCTCCACAGGCTGAGAAAAACATGGATTTTGACGGGCACACAAACCCACTACGAGAGACTTACGCATCACAAGGTCTTATTTAATTTAATTATTTTTTAAAGGTGAAACCGCAAGTGACCGCCCAACTCCATGCCAGAAAGCCTTTACCAACGGAAGCTGCATACAACTAACTTATCTCGATATGACTTCTCTGGCTAACCGAGGAAGCAACTGCAAAAATTTGTGAGCCACGAGAAATGATCGGGAAGGAAAGAAACGCCATCCCCACGACAAGGATCTGTTCCTCCTGCACGGTTCGTGCAAGAGAAGAAAGTCAGGCAAGCCTGCCTGCCCCCTCCCTGCCACGCTGGGGGCACTGGAGACGCCTCCCCAGAGGGGCTAAAGGATGAAGGGTTGGAAAAGCCACTCTCCCACCCCAAACAACCTCTCCGACAAGAGAGAGGGTGGTAGGAGGAAAAAAAGGTCACCGCGACAGCCCACCCCCGCAGGCCTGACCGGAGGAGGAGCAGCACTCGGCTGGCGGCCGGGGGAAGGGGCGCGGCGAGCGCCCGGCTCCCCGCACAGGGCAGGGGCCGTGAGGGAAGCTGGGG